TTACACTGTTATAGGAAAGTGACTGTCCTCTAGGGACCATTAGCCATGGTTAGTTGGCTAGGTTTACAATACCGTGCATGAATTTCCTCATATTGAGCAGGCTTTAAGTAGACAGCTGTTGGTTGCAACCAAGATACAAATGCCATTATTGTTGTACCCTTTGGGAATATCCTACCATGTTGGTCTTCGTTGTGGTTTATAGGCTTTACAGCTGGTTAGAACTATTTATTGCTTTTCTCCACTGGCAACTTGCAAAGCACCTTTGAATGCTATGAGAGCTAGTCCTTATGGAGGTCAGTTCCAGGTCAGTTCCAGCTCAATTCCTGTGTCTAAAGCGTGGATAATTTTTAGCAATTGCATCTTCCCTGAAAGTCCTGGGAGGCAACCAAGGGCAATGGCAATAGCCTATGTTATTTTTGAGAGTCGTTTCCATTTCCCTCACCAAAAACTTGGAGGGAGGTTTCTTACGCTTGGCACTGGGTGTGTGTGTGTGTGGGGTGGGGTGGGAAGAAGAGTTGTTAGGGAGTCTATGTCTATCTGTAGGTATTTTCTGGGCTATTTAACTTTTGTCATCCAGGATTTAGGATATTCTGACCAATATGTGTATAGACTGATCATTTGTACCCAAAGAAATGTACATTCTTAGCCAACTATAGTACTGCACGCCTATAATCCCAACACTTGGAAGGCTGGTGACATTCTAAGAATTATTACGATCCTTCAAGGCCAGTCTAGGCCAAGAGAATTCTATGAATATTGACTGGTGTTGTCTGTGGTTAGGGAAAATTTAGTTATTGATTTAGCTTATATCAAAAGTTTAAATCCCATAGTTTCCTTAATACCTGAACCCTATGGGGTCAGGGAGTCTTTAGAGGCAATTGATATGTTATGTTCCTGGCAGAATTGTTGGAAAAAAGGTAGGAGGCTTGGACAAAGAGAACTGAAGGACAGAGTGGATTGAGGGGCTAGTGAGGTCATGGCTCTGAGAGGATAACCTACGACCTCCACTTCACTAAACCGGAGTAATTCCTAACTGCATTCTAAATATTTATCCATACACTCACTGATAAGTGTGGAGATTGTTACAGAAAACCAAAGCCACCCAAAAAGTGGAGAACAAGTGACCGTGGAGTGATCACCAATTGATACATCTACAACCTAACTCCTGTGGCCCGGGAAACATAGCAGAAGAGAAGGTGGGAAGATTGTAAGACACAGGAAACCTGCTGTGAGAATGAGTCTCCAAGAAATGACAGGGAAGCTACATCAGGATACCTCAACAACATGGCTGCTTACACAAGACCTGAAGAAGCACACCACCAGTGGGTATGCTAACACGGTATGGGGAATTCTCATGAGGTCCCATCCATACCAAAGATTACAGGCAACTAAGGAAGGCTTAGAGTGGGAGAAAAAGTCCTCCTCATACTTGGGCCCCTAACTGGTTCTCCAATACCAAGTGGTTAGCCCTGAAGTCATAACACATACAAGTAACACTAAGAAGACTGGGCAGGTTGCATATCAATATTCCCTTACATATATGTGAAGTTTGTGGAGGTGAAAGAGTATGATCAAAATATATTGCATGAAACATTTTAAATAAATTAACATATACATTATTTGAATAATAATTGGAACAGAGTAACCATAGAACCTGAGAATAATTCCTAGAGAGCAGCTATGATGATTTGGTTGTTAACTTTCCCAACAATCTAAGGGAACAGGGATATGGACATTCCATCTCAGCATCTCTTGTATTAATATCGGAAATTGGACCATTTGTGAAGTTTGAAGATTAGAAGTTTTTTTTCTTTTGAGTGTCAGATGGTATGCATTCCATACTGTTTGGCTCTTACTTACTTTTGTGTCTTTGGAAACCAGGAAGAAGCAAATGTAAAATTCATATATGGAGCAGAAAGCCAATGTCCCTTCAACTCCAAATTTGTTTGTTCAGAAAGAATCAGTAGACAGAAGGAAAGCACTGATTATGTAAGTTTATCATTTTCCTAACAGGTGTTGTAGAGACTGAAGAGGAATTCAAAGGTCCAAGAGAAAATGACTCTTTAAATTATATTTTCCGTGTATTGAGCCAACCTTACACATGTTAGCAGAATATTTTTACTGATGAACTATATCCCAAGCCCAATGACTCATTGTAAAAATGGAAACTTTGAAAAAGAATTAATCTCAAGATTTAGGAGGTTCAGTGGGAAGCAACAAATACATTTCCTGTGATTAAAGATACCAATTTGAAGGTGTTGATCATCAAAGGCAACCAAAATACTAAAATTAGCAGCCTCATTCCACACAAAGAAACGGCAATGCAAGCAACGCTTGGAATGAAGTGAGAGATACAGAGGTTACTCCAGAATTATAATCCTAGCTAAAGTAGCACACAGGTTTAGATGTAATTGAGACATTTCCAGACACAAACTTGAGACTGATCACACAGGCCATGGAGGAAGGAATCCTTAAAAAGTGTACTGAAGGGGTCATTCGATAATACTTGCTTACAATAGAAATCCTTGGGAAGCTAAAGCAGGAGGATTGTAAGTTTATTGGGATAGGGAAACCATATCAAAAGTGAGAAAAGAAAGGAAAAAGAAAATTGTACTGCTGCAGGAAGACACATGAGGACAGAATGAAGAGGTGGAGTGCAAGGATGAAAACAAGGAAAGAAACTGGCAAAGCATTCCCAGGTTGAAGTAACAAATGTTAATGTTCAACACACCAAAAAGGGCTAGCATCTTGTTGGTTTCAGCTTTGGCAGTAACGAAATTACTTCATTATAAAAAGCATGGGCAAACCCATCAAAAAAGAGACATTTAACAATAGTCGTGATGTGCATAAAATCCAAACAGCAAGCACATGAAGAAAAACTAACCCCATACAATATAAGCTTCCTTTGCATGTGCGCGCGCACTGGAATAGCAGTCTTAAGAAAATTCTCTGGGATAGCAGGAATGCAAAGAACGTAGGAATTACAAGTCCTGACACTGAAAGTCACCACATGGGCTGATGAAAAAGACAACATAGGTTCTAGAGAAATGGCTCAGCAGTTATGAGCATTGGTTATTTTTTCAGAAGACCTGGGTTCAATTCCCAGCACCCACAAGGCAGCTCAAAATCATCTGTAACATCAGGGGATCTGATACCCTCTTCTGGTCTCCACAGGCACTGCATACATGTGGTGCATAGACATACATTCAGGTAAACACTCATACACATAAAATAAAAGTACAATTAAAAGAAAAGAAAACACAGAAAGCCACGCACACACAAATGTTTGTAAAATCTAACATTTAAAGCCTGAAGTGGCCCTTCACTCATTTCCACCTCCCACCCATCTGCTTCCAAGTCTTCAAAGGACCACCTAAAATTTACAAAGGCCCAACTATGGCCTCATTTATTATCTTCCTAGTTTTTAAATAACCTCAATGAATCAAGGTTCCACATAGCTCTTATGTGAAGACATCTGAATAATTACATTTTTAAAATGAATTCATTTATTCAATCAAATATTTTAATAATTTGATGAAGTCTTTTTAGTTACTTAACCAAACCAACACAGTTATCTCCCCCCTTTTATATTAAGAAACATTAACAAGGAGCTTCTTCAAGAGGAAAAGTACTACTGGTCAACTATGATGAAACAGATCAGCCTTTATGATAAAGTGGAAGAGTCAACACATCTCTTAAGACTGGACTGCCCTTATCAAGCATCCTGTTCCCCCTGACTTATTATCTCATACAGATCCATTAAGGAAAATTAAGCTTGTCAAAATTGACCTGTGCCATTTTTCTCATTGGAAGTATCATTGCCTTTATCAACCAGCTGGAAGAACCTAGGCATAAATTATTAAAATAATTAAAATTTTGTTGCCTGTCAGATAAAATATGAACTATTTTATTCATTAGTAACAATAAACAAAACAAATCAAGATCCTGTAATTATTCCTACACCAATATAATCTTATAATTGCCATAGCCTGAGAAGTGTGAACGTCTTCAGACTAGGAGAAATTAAAAACACACAAGAAGGGGCTGGAGAGATGGCTCCGGCAGTTAAGAGCACTTGCTGCTTCTCCAGAGATTTGGCTCCCAGCACTGGCATGGAAGCTCTAACATGAATTCTCTAACTCTAGTTCCACGGAATCTGATGCCCCTCTTTTACCCCTGTAGGCACCAAGCACAGAGAAGGGCACATACACATATGCAGGCAACACACACACACACACACACACACACACACACACACACACACACACACACACACTCGAAATAAAAATAAATCTTTAAAAATATACAAAAAGAAATGAATATTTAAACCAAGAAAATACTTGTTTTTTTGTGGAACACCCTCCTACTCAACAAAACAAAACAAAACACAACCACCTACCACCGCCACCATCAAAAACAAAAACAAGTCTCCAAACCATAAAGCGTTGAAAACATAAATTATTTCCTCACGTAAGTGTTAAAAGAAAAAAGACAACACTTTATAAAAAACAACATCTGTGTAGTAAAACTATCTAGTAGTGTCACCTCCAGGCAGTTAGAGCCCTAATAAGGAAAAGCTGCATGGTAAACAGATAGGCACAAAGTAGGAGTGATTAGGGCCAAACTCTACCACCCCCATCATATTATTAATAGCTAATAGCTAATTAATCCCAGAAGGGGTGCATGGTAGGGTGGAGTTTTAAGGAAACGTGTTGGAGTTGAAGTTTGAGGCACCACTTGGGGTACGAAATTTCCTGAGGGTGACTTCTGTATAGAAAAGAGCATAAACAGTCAATTCAAGGACCAAAAGTAGGTGATTTTTTCAAACAGCATGTGTTCTGGTGGCGATGATCTTTCCTCCAGACCAGTCCAATATTCTGCATTCCGCCCATTTCAAAAACAAGAGTGTCTTTCTAGCCTTATAGACTGTGCAAAGGCACTCACAATGGCTTTGAGAAGCCTTTTACTTGCAGGGCTTCAAGGATTTGTGAGGGGGCAGTTCATTCACAGAACAGTCGCCTCCGGGCCTTGCACAGGGGCCGTGGAGGGCATGGAAGGTGCTGCTCTTGAGGACTTGGAGGAGGAGATGGAGGCAGGGGCTGAAGTGGTGAGCTGGGGAAGGGTCCCAGCAGGTAGCTGCCCAGGTCCCAGATGGACCTCGGAGAATATCTCTTGGCCCTAGTGGAAAGCACCAGAGGCCATGGCTCTGCTACTGGGTCCTGAGGCCAAGGACTGTATACTCTTGTGGAGGAGAGATGAAGCCCAGCGACCTGACTAGCTGAAGCATCCATCCAGGGTGACAGGAAGCCTGGTTCAGGATCTTCCTGGTCATAGGCGTCTTCCAAACCAAAGATGTCTGATACGGACGCACCGAAGGATCCCTGCTGGTCCTGGAACACGTCAAGGAGAGTGGCCCCCTGCGGGCTGGCGGACGAGAACCCAGGCTGTCCAAGATGGACCGAGGCGTGGAGGCTCTCGGGGACGAGGATTAAGGTGTGTCCAGGGAGCGACACTTGCAGGACCGAGGTGGGCTCTGGCTCCAGCAGCAGCTCGACGTCTTCCAGCTGCAGTTGCATGGCGCAGCCAGGGGCCAGGAACACCACCGAGGTGAGCGCGTCGCTGGCGGGTCCGGCGGGCGCTTCCATGTCTGGCGGCGCCAGGGGCTCGTGGCGGGCGGGCTCGTGGAGGCGGCGGCGCTTGGCAGGGCTGGGTCCTTGTGGCTGCGGTGGCCAGCAGGGCTCGGGGTCGACGCTGGGGCTGCGGGGCCTCATTCCCAGCATGTTGATGGTGATGCGGGGCTGGAGAGAGATGCGGGGTGCGGCGCAGACAGGTGAGACGGCGCGGGCGGAGCGGCTGCAGTGCGGGGCTCTGGAGTGCTGCGCTTTCCTCAGGTCCCGCCGGATGTACCCTGGATGCCAATTATATCCCAAGTGATGCACCGGAAAGTGAAGTCGTGAAATGTCACACTAGGCTCCGCCCCTCGTACCTCCATTCCAGAGGCTCCGCCCAGGAGTGGCAGCTGAGCTTTCCAATAGCCCAGGCTGTACTTGAGAAATACTGTTTTGGCCTAGAGGGGGCAGAATAACTTTTCTCTCCCCCCACCCCTTTTTTTCTTTTAAATGACAGGCTCTGAATAGGATTTTAAGATGGCTGATCTTTAGAATTCCTGTTTTCGAGTAGGTTTCAGGGATTCAAAAGACCACCGAGAGTTGGCCAGCCTGGTCTACATAGCTCCAGAACAGTCCAGACTACAAATAGAGATCCCTCCCCCCGAATAAATAATAAAACTCTGAAAAGAATGCTCCCTCCACTGTCCAAAGATTCAGTTCTCTTAACTTCAGTGTTTATCAAATTTTGCTTTCATTCTTCAGAGAAAATGTCACTGTATAAGTGTGTTCTGTGGTCGATACTACAAGTATGTGATCCCAGCATTGTGGGAAGGTAATGGAGGTGAATCTCAAGTTCGAGTCCAGCCTGGATCACATAGTGGGACGCCATTTTTAAAAACAAACAAAGCACGCCTTTAATCCCAGCACTCGGGAGGCAGAGGCAGGCAGATCTCTGTGAGTTTGAGGCCAGCCTGGGCTACAGAGTGAGATCCAGGACAGGCACCAAAACTACACAGAGAAACCCTGTCTCGAAAAACCAAAAAAAAAAAAAAAAAAAAAAAAAAAAAAAAGAGCTGTGATAAAACTGTTAAAGATAGGCCCAGTGTGGTGATGGGAGGTAGAAGCAGGAATTCCATCCTGCCTTGTCTCAGAAAGCTAGAGGTCAGCCTCAGTTTAATGAGGCCCTGTTTAAAAAGTAAATAAAAAGAGGTCTGAAGAGAGAAATTTAAAAAATCAATTAAAAACAAAAAGCCTGGAGGTGGTGGCTCGTGCCTTTAATCCCAGCACTAAAGATGCAGAGGCAGGAGGATTTCTGTGAGTTTAAGGTCGGCTGGCACTACATAGAGAGTTCCAGGACAGCCAGGGCTACACAGAGAACCATGTCTCAACAAACAAACAATAATGAGAGAGAGAGAGAGAGAGAGAGAGAGAGAGAGAGAGAGAGAGAGAGAGAGAGAGAGAGCTGACGGTGGTGGCACACCCCATTAATCCCAGCACTTGGGAGGTAGAGGCAAGAATATTTCAGTGTTTGAGATAGGCCTGGCCTGCATAGTGAGTTCCAGGACATCCAGGACTACAATGAAAAACCCTTTCTCAAAACAAGAAGAAAGAAAGAAGAAAGTATTATTGAGAGTATTAATTTTTCTCTTGAAATAGAATTTCACCTTTATCAACGTTGGAATGTGGAGAAGGATGACCTTGAATTTCTGATCCTCCTGCCTCCACCTCCAGAGTAATTAGATCACAGGGGTGCCCTGCCCTATTCAGTTTCCTTTATGCTGGGTATTGAACCCAGGGTTTATTACAGCCTAGGTGAGTGTTCTACTGAAGCGTTGTTTAAAAAAATATACATTTCAGCCGGGCGGTGGTGGCGCACGCCTTTAATCCCAGCACTCGGGAAGCAGAGGCAGGCGGATCTCTGTGAGTTCGAGGCCAGCCTGGTCTACAGAGCGAGCTCCAGGAAAGGCACCAGAACTACACAGAGAAACCCTGTCTCGAAAAACAAAACAAAAAAAAAAAAAAAAGGAAAAAATATACATTTCAATCCTCAAAACACCTAGAGCTCTAAATGGTGTTAAATATCTAGTTTAAGTTACTGTGGAAATATGATGCAGACATGTATTTTAATTTAAACCAAAGACACGTCATTTATGTCCGCTGAACTCCTTCCTGTGAGATGCTCACATTGCGTGCCTTCTGAATTAACATGCAACGTCTCCCTCACCTTCTCTTTCCTTCTTTCTCCTCCTTCTCCTCCGTCTCTTCTTCCCCTTTTCTTCTTTTATTCAGTACTAGGATCAAATCCACAGCCCTTTACATTCTAGGCAACCCGGCCAACCACTGAGCAACATCTCCAGTCCCTGTGCCCGACTACACACACTTTCCAAAATATATTTTTCACAGTTATCATCCTTACCAGCTGTATATATTTCCATTTCACTTCTATATCGTCTTCTTAGTTCTCTTTTCAAAGCTTTTTATTTTGAGACAAGGTCTAGGTAAATTATCAGACTGGCCTTGAAATTGCTCTATAGAACAGGCTGGCCTTACACTCGAGATTCTTTGACCTCAGCCTCCCTCATAGGACTTAGCTGTCAGGCCTGACTCCTCTAATCAATCTTATGCTCCCACCTATTTCATTAGCTGTTGACTCTGTCATTACCCCAACTTGAAATTCTTCCTTAATCACAATTTCAAACATCTTATTCTCAGAGCACTCTCCTAAGTTTCCAGCTCAGTCTCTTAAATATAAAAGCATCATCAGTCTTTCATGATTTGTGAAAGGTTGATTTTTCCCCCATATCTTTTCATTAAAAAATGAGGTCATTAGGTTCTCATTCCACTTCTTACCTGGGAGTTCAAATCCACGAGTAGTTGTTACAATCACATACATCCACATGGTCACTTCGTTTCTTGTAGAAAGAATTTCAGTTAACTGAGTGAGGACTTAATTTAGAAAAAAAAAGGCACTTTGATCTTAGAAAAAAAATGCACTGTCTGCAACATCCAACTACTTTCAATTATCTTTAGCACAGTGTCTAGACCATTTTGGGGTGGTTTTTATGCTACAGAGAGGGAAGTTTTTTTTCTGTTCCAATGTAGGCCGTACTCTAAATACCAGGCTACATTTTAAAACACGTGCACATCCATGTTTACTGCAGATCTGTTCCTAATAGCAAGGAAGTGGAATCGACTGAGTTGTCCTGACTTTTCTGTTGCGGTGATGAACCACGCGGACAAAAGCAGCTTACGGGATCAGGAGTTTATTTCAGCCCACAGTCCGAGGCTACATTATATTGTGGTGGGAATTGGTGAGGCAGCTGGTGCTTGAGGCTGCTGGCCACACTGCGTTCAGTCAGAGAGAAGAGAGCAAGCAATGTTAGTGTGCATCTCACTTCCTCCCTTTTGTGTAGTTTAGGATTTCAGCCTAGAAACTGGTGCCACCTACAGTGGGCACATCTTCCCATTTCAATGAATCCAATCAAGGGAGTCTCCCACAGGCATGCTCAGAAGTGCATTTCTCAGGTGATTCTAGGTCTCATCAAGTTGACAATTGAGACCAACCATTACAATGTCCATTAAGTGGTGAATGGATAGTGAAAATGTGGTACCTACACGTGGTGGACTTTTATTCAGCCATTAAGAAGAATGAAGTTATGAATGTGAAGAAGATTTACAAACCTGACTAAACATACATATTAAATGTGATAACCTGGACTAATAAACAGGAGCCCCACGTTCTTTCTCATATGGAGATCTTAGCTTCTAATTTTTATGTATGTATTTAAGTGGAAGTAAGGTGTAAGGAGGTCAGAGAACAAGAAAGGGACCCACGGAAGGAGAAACAAGACTTTAAAATAGAGGCGGGAGGGTAACAGAGCACAAGTGATATGAAAATGGAAGGGGGAACCCTGAGAGTGCTCAGGATCATTTAAACTAAGATGGGGAACAGAGAGGAGGGAGAGGAGGCACCAGGGGAGGCTTAACTGCAGCTGAGCGTGAAAATATCACAAGGAAACCTGTTACTTTGTAAATAATTAAAATAACAACAATGGAACTGTGACTTGACAGAATTGTAGCCTCTTTTGAAACTTTTTGTCTCTTCCTGAAGCTGGGGATAAGTAAAGGAGACCCTTTCTATCAGCTTCTCATTCTCAGAACACAGTAGGAGATCATTTATTTAGTTCATGAGGACCTAATCACAAGAGGAATTTTGAATCTTTTAAGCCTTGGTTAAAGAACTTAGAAAATCTGAGGGAACACCAGTGAACACTTTAGGGATATAATCATCCTCCCTGGGTAAAGGCAAAAGGACATTGACTACTCTGGTCCAGAAATACATTGAAAAAGATATATATGTATATATATATATATATATATATATATATAGATAGATAGATAGAGAGAGAGAGAGAGAGAGAGAGAGAGAGAGAGAGAGAGAGAGAGAGAGAGAGAGTCTTTTCTCTATAGCCTAGGCTGTCCTCAGATTACAGTGGCCCTTCTCTCAGCTGCCTGAGTGCTGGGATTACAGGTGTGGACTACTATGCCCAGCCTAGTGTATACTTAATCATACAAGTCTATATGCAAAGTGGGCTTTTCTCTTTCAAGACCCCATGAGCACATCACAGAGCTGGAGGAATATTTTCAGTCAAGGGACCAAGGTTTTTAGTAAAAACTGTGAAACTGGGAAAATGTGTGAATTATTTAAACTATCTTTTATCTGTGTAGTCCTTTTCCTCCAGCAAAGAGCATAGACAAAGCTAGCAGTGTTTAGTGTAGAAATAATAGCACCTGCATCATTTTGAGACAGGGTCTCACTATGTAGCTCTGGTTGTCCTGGAACTTGCTATATAGACCAGGCTGATCTTGGACTCACAGAAATCTGTCTTTCTCTGTTTCCTAAGTGATGGGATTAAAGAGGTGAGTCATTATATCCAGTCCACCTGTATTAATTAAAAAATATTTATTTATTTATTTATTTATTTATTTATTTATTTATTTATTTATTTAAGGTGTGTGTATGCGTGCCTGAGTGTATACATGTTCACCAGATGAGTGCTGTGCCCAGGGAGGCCAGAAGAGGGTTTTGGATCTCCTGGAACTGGAGCTACAGTCAATTTGTGAGCCACCTGATGCGGAATCTGGGAACCGAATGTGGGTCCTCTGGAAGAGCAACACGTGCTTTTAATTGCTAAGCATCTCTCCAGCTCCAATATGCATCAATTTTATTGGAAATGTTTTATAAAGTATAGCTTTGAGGAGTCTTTGACTTTTATCCATTTTTACCCTTCAGTTTTATTACAGGAAGGGAAATCTAGAAGTCTCTTTCTGGGACAGTTCAACCAGCTTTATTATCTAGAATGTATAATCTGTGTTTCTGACAAGTATGTGCATGAATCAGTATAAGTCATGCAATACTGGCTCATCTGTGCCCAAAAAAAAGGTAAATTCTTTGTGGCATGTAGTAGCACATGCTTGCAGTCTCAGCACTTAGGAATTGGAGGCAGGAAATTTATTAGTGATTAATTAGGCATGTCACATACAAGGCCACCCTAGTCTAAGAAAACCCTTCTGTGACTATTGTCTGTTCTTGTCTGTGCTTAGGAAAGTTTAGTTTTTACTTTAGTTCAAGTCCAAAGAATAAACTCCATTGTTTCCTGAGTGGGGTCAGGGAGTCTTCAGAGGCAGACATTTAAGGTCCCTGGCAGAGGTGTTGGTAAATGGTTGGAGGTCAGGACAAAGAGAAGGGAGAGTTGATGGATGTGCTGAAGGAGAGAGGCTGGCAGTGTGATGGGGAGGGAGATCTGGAGGGAGAGAGGACAGGAGGGAAACCTTATTAGAGAATCCAGACAAGTTTGTTATTGCCTTTGCCCCCAAACTCTTTTAATGGAGATATTTTTGATTCAGAAGTTTTTGGAGGCCTGTGAGTACCCAATCCAAAATGGCCACCATTGAGCCTGTGAAGTCTTTCCCCCTTCCTTTTCTAAGTACTCTTCAAAGGTTTTTGAAGTTAAATGCTCTGCGGCATAACCCCCAAGAGCCCACATAATCCTTGATTGAATCACATCCTTCAGAAAGAGAGACCCAAGATCAGGAGTGCAGTGAAAATACCTATGGGAAGCAGCCACTGCTCCTGAAAGAGTAGACGTTGTTGACACAGTAGCCGGCAAGGGCAGTAACATGTGTCAGAGGCTCAGGACAGGCGGTGGCCTCCGATATGATAGTTTGCCTTTAAACTACCAGAAAGGACACTCCATAGATCAGAAGCCAAACACTCAAAACAGAAAGTGGAAATGGAAACAGGAAACTCATCTGGTTTTACTGGTGACCCCTTGGTGATCCATGTGCATGATGTGCTAGCACAAACTGCAAAATCCCAGACCACGAGGCTGGCTCAGACAGTGGACATACGGGGTCTCTGAATTCAAAACCCTGTGGTTTTCCTTCTTGGGACACACTTTTAGACAGCACAACAAAATGAAACATAAGAGGGAACAAATGATGAAAGAAAAGGATTCCATCAAGGATGATGGCAAACAGATTAAGCTGATAATAAAATTTGGTGTTAAAACCTAGAATAAATAAACAATGAACTCACAGAGTTCAGATCCCCTGCTGATAGTCCACACTGGGTTATGTGGACCATTAGAAAATCTAAAAAAATGAAAGCCCAGCCAGTGAAAAAGAGCAGAGGCAGTTCAGAGCATTCTGCAGCAGAGGCAGAAGCTGTAGATCAATGCGCTGGATGATCAACTTCCTTGAGGATTGAAATGCCGGACCTAGTTCAGCGAGATCCTGGATCCTAGGAAAGTTGTTAACTCTTTGGCATGATTTTTCAACAGCTATATACTGGACTAAAAACAGATAGACGATATACCTCAGAGTTGTGATTTGGATCCAATTAAGTAAGCTTGTATTATATATGACATTTTATAAATGGACATTTTAATATTAGTTAGGAGTGATGTGAATAAAAACCAAACAGCAAACACATGAACAAAAAAATACAAACAAGCCAAGCTTGGTGGCATTTGCCTTTATTCCCAGCACTTGGGAGGCAGAGGGAGGTGGATCCCTGTGGGTTTGAGGCTAGTTTGATCTATATGTATGGTGAGTTTCAGGAGACCCTGTCTCAAAAAACCCAAGCTAACCAACCAGCCACTCTCTAATCTCCCAAAGCAAAACCATTCCAGAGTGTAATTACAATCTCAAGGAAATCCCCTGGAGTAGCAGAGATGCAGGGAACCTTACTCAGTTGTAATTCCTGTCACTGCCAAACCACCACATGGACCAAAAAAGACAGCGTGGAGCACCATGCACAAAGCAAACATTTATTAAAATGTTAACATTTGACACCTTAAGGCAACTCTTCAATCATTTCTCATTCTAACCATCTCTGCTCGAGTTTCTAAAAGAGCATCTAATTTTTAAAAAGTCCTTTAGTCCCAATCCTGGTCTCATTTGTTCTCTTACTGTGTGTTTGGGTGTACGCCAAAGACTCAGGGTTCAACATAGCTCATTTATGAAGATACTTTAATGCTCAAGTTCTTAAAATACAATTTAATTCCATTATTAAATCCAACATTTGGACAAAATCTTTGTATTTAGCCAAAACCAAAAAATCCAACATTTATGATCAGAAATATTATAAAGTAACATCTTTAACAGGACAAAGACTATCTAACAACTATTTACAGAAAAGATAATATTCTATGACAAAATTTAAGTAAGTGCATTACAATAGGAATGTCCCTCCCAAATACACTTCAATTGAACTTAAATATCCAATAGAAAATGTTAAGGAAAAATAAGATGTTTTAGATGTGTTAAGGGCCCTAATTTTTTCATTAGAGATAGTTTTTTATCAACCATCCAAAAGAAGGTACATAAAATTACTAAAGAAATTAATAAATTTTGTTGGATATCAAATCAACATAGGACATATCTATACAATAGTAACAATGAACAACATAAATTTGGGATCTTCTAATTATTCTCACAATATAGTTTTATAACTAATTATCATAACATTAGAATTATGACCTCCAGAACAGGAGAACTATATTAAAAATACAGAAAATGATACCAAGAGTTTTGGTGTTTGTGGAAAGAAAAAGATAAAGAAAACCCAACTCCTTCTAAAGTCAAATCTAAACAAGCCCCCAAACAAACAAAAGCCCCACTAACATAAACTACTTCTTAATTATTAAAAAAAAATAACATGATCATTGCTTTCCTTGCTGAATTTATTTCATAAAGAACAGCATCCGTGAGGTGCAACCATTTGCTAGATTCTCCCAAGTGAGGAGTAGCCTCCGGAAGGAAAGGGACCATGGCAAAAAAGTGGGTACACAGTAGGAGAGATTAGTGCTAAAGCTCATAAGATAAACGCAGTCAATTCAAGGCCCCAAAGTAGGTGATTTTCAAACAGGATGTGATCTGGCAGCGATGGATCTTTCTTCCAGACTTTCTAGCCAACCACCAATCCAATATTCTGCATTCTGCCGATTTCAAAAACAAGAGTGTCCTTCTAGCCTTGTAGACTGTGCAAAGGCACTCACAACGGCTTTGGGAAGCCTTTCACTTGCAGGGCTTCAAGGATTTGTGAGGGGAAGTTCACTCAGAGAACAGTCGCCTCCGGGCCTTGCACGGGGGCCGTGGAGAGTGTGGAGACTGTGGAGGGCGCTGTTCTTGAGGACTTGGAGGAGGAGATGGAGGCAGAGACTGCAGTGGTGAGCTAGGGAAGGGTCCCAGCAGGTAGCTGTCCAGGTCCCAGATAGACCTGGGAGAATATCTCTCTGTATTAGAGGAGGGTACCGGAGGATATGGTTCTGGGATGCGGCCCTGAGACCAAGGACTGGGCATCCTAATGATGGAGGAAAGGAGCCCTGAGGCCTGACCTGCTGGAGGATCAATCCAAGGTAACAGGAAGCCCAAGTCTGCATCTTCATCACAGGCATCCTCTTGGTAGGAGCTGTCTAAGACGTACTCACAGAAGGATTCCTGCGGGAGGACGACGAGGTGGCCCTGGGGCATTTCCAGGACAGACGCCTCCTGCGGGCTGGTGGACGAGAACTCAGGCTGTCCAAGATGGGCGGAAGACTGGAGGCCCTCGGGGACGAGGATTAAAGTGTGTCCAGGGAGCGACACTTGCAGGACCGAGGTGGGCTCTGGCTCCAGCAGCAGGTCGACGTCTTCCAGCTGCAGTTGCATGGCGCAGCCAGCGGCCAGGAACACCACGGAGGTGAGCGCGTCGCTGGCGGGTCGGGCGGGCGCTTCCATGTCTGGCGGCGCCAGGGGCTCGTGGCGGGCGGGCTCGTGGAGGCGGCGGCGCTTGGCAGGGCTGGGTCCTTGTGGCTGCGGTGGCCAGCAGGGCTCGGGGTCGACGCTGGGGCTGCGGGGCCGCACGTGCATCATGTAGACGGCGCAGCGGGGCCGGCGAGGCGCGGGGTGCAGCTTAGACAGGTGCGAGGACGCGGGCGGAGCGGCTGCAGTGCGGGGCTCTGGAGTGCTGCGCTTTCCTCAGGTCCCGCCGGATGTACCCTGGATGCCAATTATATCCGAGAGATGCGCGGGAACCCATGTCACGCTAGGCCCCGCCCCCTCCAGGCTCCGCCCAGGAGTGTCAAGCCGACCAATGGCCATGGCTGTAGTTTGTAGGTCCGTGTGTGGAAATGCGTTCGTCCCGCTCCATGAGCAGCCATTGGTTTGTAGGCCTTCGCTTCCGCTTTGGATTGTGGGCCTTGTATGCTTCCGTCAGATTATAGCGGTAAGCTATCCCTGCTCAAGTCTCGCGAGTGGAATGTTATGTCAGCACACTGAGGTGTAAGCCTGGATTTCAGCCTTCGTCTCAACATAGACCTTTCCTGTTCTACTCTTGACATATAGTGTCGATAGTTTTGTGTGTATCCTTGAGCCTCTGTCCGATTTTTAAATGACCAGCAATCGTTCTCCAAGAATGTAAAGCTAACATGCTCTGTGATTAAAGTTGCTGTCTTTATGATGCGAGCCAGTCTTGTGAGCGTTATGCTGTCGGCTGAAATACAAGCTTACTTACTTGGATCTAAACCACAACTTTGAGGTATATCGTCTATCTGTTTTTAGTCCAGTATAGAGCTGTTGAAAAGTCATGCCAAAGAGTTAACAACTTTCCTAGGATCTAGGATCTCGCTGAACTAGGTCCGGCATTTCAATCCTCGAGGAAGTTGATCGTCCAGCGCATTGATCTACAGCTTCAAGACCTGTTTGGCGTATCAAGACGGCGGAATGATAACAGGGTAAAAATAGACATCACTGATTTTTAGAATGAGTAATGTATTTAAATGCCAATGGATGGCAAGAAAATAGTTCCTCTTACGCCTGTTTTTTAGCCATGTTATTCCTCAGCCTGAAGGCAGTTATATAATAGACTATCCTGTTTATTTAAAATAAAATCATGCACATATTATTTATATTCCTTTACTTTTTTTTTTTTGGTTTTTCGAGACAGGGTTTCTCTGTGTAGTTTTTGGTGCCTGTCCTGGATCTCGCTCTGTAGACCAGGCTGGCCTCGAACTGACAGAGATCTGCCTGGCATTTTTTTTTTTTTTTTTTGGTTTTTCGAGACAGGGTTTCTCTGTGTAGCTTTGCGCCTTTCCTGGATCTCACTCTGTAGCCCAGGCTGGCCTCGAACTCACAGAGATCCGCCTGGCTCTGCCTCCCGAGTGCTGGGATTAAAGGCGTGCGCCACCACTGCCCGGCCCTGCCTGGCATTTTTAAGGGCTATGTAAATGTCCATCCTGTTTGAATCCTCTCTCTCTGTTTTTTTTTTTTTTTTTTTAATGGAGACTGGCTATCAAGTCCAGAATGACTTTAACTGAAGTTCCTCCTGCTTCCGCCTCAGAATCGGAATGATAAGCTTTGTGACACCATGCTCCACCTACATCAGTTCCTATTAGATGGACCTTTAAGCCTGTGGAGTGCCAGTGGTGACGCTGGAATCCTCTTGCGCGACTCTTTGGTATGAGTGCTGTGAGGGGAATTTAAAAGTCCTGCCTGAATGTGCTGAGCCATTCAGGGAATGCTGGCCTTCAGTCTGCAAATTACCTTCCTGCTGGATTTCTGGTGTTTCTGCCTGTGAGGCTGAAAATTTTCCCAAGGAATAGCGGCCTGGGGCAAGACAACTCTGGGAGGCCAGTTCGGGCTCCTGGAGGATTTCGAAGGCCAAGGTGGGAACCTGCAGTTCCAGATGCCCCTTCCCTGGGGTGAGAGTGAATGTTTCTGGAAGCTGTGTTCTCTCAGGCTCCCAGGTGACCTAAGCTGAAGCCTGGCCAAGGGCGGGGGTGGGGCAAAGCTTGTTTTTGGGTTCTGGAGAGGTCTATCTGTGACCCTTGACCGTTTCAAGATTCCAAGTAGCAGAATGTTCCCGAATAGGGTGCTACTGAAGATGGAGGTCAGAGGGCACAAACGTCACAGTGTCACAGGCAGCACCCAGCGGGGTCTCAGGGCTGAGTGGGTGGCACCTGTATCTGTTGTTTGTTTGGTCCCACAAACTGAGCTTATCTTGGCGAAAAATCTAGATCTTCTGACCAGGACAGAAACGATCCTAGCATGGATCTTGGTTTCCCCTCCTCTAATTGGGGTCATTTCCCGCTTCCTCTAGGACTCTGTTTTCTCACATGTAAATGCGGGAAACACCATCCTTCGGTACAGGGTGGTTGTAGAGTGCAAAATTCTTGGAATGGAGTGAATGCTTACTAGATATTAGCTATTTACCGCAAGATTTATAAATGGTCTCTCACTTGGACTTGCCAGCTTTGTCCCTCCACATCGTACAGCAAATGCTTAGAGAGCAGGAAGGAGGCCATTGTATCCTAAAGGGATATTTGAGCCATTAGGAAGCAGGCTTCTAGCTGTTTTCATGGTGCAGTATCTACATGTTCAGGAATGACTGTGCTTGGCTTCTAATCAGATATTCTTCATTCTACCTGAGTTTATCCTCCTCTTTAAAGTGCCCAAAGAAGCTGAACATAGTGGCAAGGCCTTTAATCCCCTCACTTGGGAGGCAGAGTTCAAGGCCAACCAGGGCTATGTAGTGAGACCCCAGTTTAAAAAAAATGTCTGACAGGCAGTGGCTGCGCATGCCTTCAATCCCAGAATTTATGAAGCAGAGCCAGGTGGATCTCTGTGAGTTCGAGGCCAGCCTGGTCTACAGGACAGGCACCAAAACTACACAGAGAAACCCTGTCTCCAAAAACCAAAAAAAAAAAAAAAAAAAAGACCAAGGTTGTAGGGTGGATTGTTAGGTATGCTTATGGGTATCAGTCAACATGATCCCGCAAATTAGTGCAACATGCTTAAAGTTCTGTGTGGACTAAATTGGCCAAAAAATGACAGGTAATTATGTATACATAGATGGGCCCAGTTGAGGGAAGGAAGCCCAGGGGACTTGGATCCAGGAAACTGGCTAAAAGGAGGATATAGCTTAACTGGACTCGAGAGTTTCTTAAGCCTTGGGTGTGTGGTAACTAAAGCCACCAAGAACTTGGGACTCTTGACATTGACCATTTCTTTTTTCCTAATTTTAGTTTTGTTTTTGAGACAATCCCATGTAGTCAGGTTGGCCTCGATCTCTCGTGTAGCAGAAGCTGACCCCAACTCCTGTGTTAGCTTTGCAAGTGATTGAATTACAGACACATGCCACCACACCCTGCAGTTTTGACTATATATTCATCCACTTTAATACAGAATTAAGTGGCTTTAAAACTACGATTCATTTTTATTTATATGAGTAATAATTGCGTTTCAAAAAATAAGCCAAATTGTAAGGTTGTAGCCTCTGGTTAGGTCCCACCTAACTCATGAGTTAGAGTTGGGGCAGTGAGCTCCTGTTTTCTCTCTGGAATGGTGATGCATTGTGAGCATTTTTCTGCCATGTCAGGGCTCACTGCCATTTTGTATTGTTACCTTCAAAGTACATGATCTCCCCTGTTTTATTCCAGAGGCCATTTCAGCATGCAGTGTCGACATCTAGGTTTTGATTGTTTTGTATAAGAAAAGGCAACTTCAAAAAAATCACTTGTGTATTAATTTCTTTCCCTCTAACAGAATGCTGAAAACAGCTCAGCTCTGCTGGCCTTGCAGTAATCCTGGTAAATGTGGTATATTACAGTAGGCCACCTTTATTTCCTGACAATATCACTCAAGGGTGAATGCTCTTGTATTGCTGATGCTGTTTAAGGATTAGCTATGATGATGGCCTAGGTGATCCCAAGATCATTAATCTTGTGCTATTTTAAGGATGCCAAACTAACATTCAAGTAGTGATTTGGCCTTAAAGCCTAGGGATGAGAGGAAATAGCAGATTTTTGCCAAGTCCTTAGGGAGAAGTCAAGCTTTAGAGTTTTGCTGTTACCATCAAACCCCAATGATTTCTGCTTTGGTCTTCAGCTGTCTTACAAAGACTCATTTGTTTCTGGTTGTTTTCTGGGCTGTGCAATTGTGTGGTTTGCAATGGTGATAGTTTCCCTCCTGGTCAAGCTCTATACCTGCAGTTGTTTTCCTTTGTCTAATTCTGTCCACCCGGGCCTTCAGTGCAACATAAATAATAATGGGAAACACTGTCTTTTTTTTTTTTTTTTTTTGATTATAGGCTTTGGTGAGAGTGCTGCTTGTCTTTGCCAGTTAAGCATGCTAGTCCCATTGCTCAGAAATATACAGATAAAAGAAATGTGTTTTTCTGCCTTTGTTTTTAGTCAAGTATTTTCACATTTACAGAAACGTTGCAAAAATGAACCAACATGTATCTTTTCTCACCATCGTCATTTTGCTGCATTGACTTTATCATTTTGTCTGTCTCTTGGGAGGATCATACAGTTGTCTGTCTGCTCTTACAGTGGTACACCTAGGTTCCTCAAGTTCTCATAAATCTTGGCTTCTTTGTAAATCTTCCCTGTTTATTTCCTTCTCACTTCTTTCAGGATTAGACCCCCAGATTCTCTCAATTTATTTACCAACTGATCCATTCATATAACTCATACAGGTTAATTTTGGACTTGATAGATTTTTATTATCACAGCAAACTTAGTAAAAACTTTCAAGATTTATTTGCATTTATTTGTCCTGCTACTGGCTGAAGGACCATAGTTAAGATGCTGTGTTCAGAATGTACTTGGATTCATACTTCTTTTTGGTGAGGTCATTTCATTGTATAGAAATATAGCTGGATTCATTCATGTATGTTTTTATCTTCAGTTTTAGCTTTCTTCTCCTGATTCTCCTAGGTGTGTGTGTGTGTGTATGTGTGTGTGTGTGTGTGTGTGTGTGTGTGTGTGTGTGTAAGTTCATGATGTATATTAGTAGGTACATATGACATGGAGCACAAGTGCCACTCAGAGCACAACAGACTTACGAAGTCAACTCCTTTACCAAGGAACCAT